CACAAAAAAGGGAAGGTGCCTCGGCGGCAGGGGATGGAGTTCAGGTCCCTGGTGTTACTTGAAACCCCCCCCCCCCCCCCGCCCTGCCTTCCAAGGGTCCATTCTCTCTGCTACTTCTTTTCTTTTTCCAGGGAAGGCTCGGTCATGCTGCAAATTGACGTGGACACCGAGCACGGTGGCTTGAAGGCGAACAAGCACTTCCTGGTGGATTTTGGGAAAGAGCCGGAGGGTCCTGCCCTCGCCCATGAGATCCGCTACCCGGGGGGAGACACCACCTCAGACATCTGGGTCTGAGGGAAGGTCCGGAGAGAGCAGAAGGCCGCTGTGCATAAGATATGAGCCCCCTTTTCTAACGCTTTTCCTAACTCCGGGTGTGAAAATGGATGCAGGTGGGCCTCTAAACTTGATGAAATGCAAGCTTTCAAACCACTCTGAGACTGGTTTGGTGAGCTCTAACCTGTAATCTCTCCCCCCCTCAAAAAAAAACAAACAAACCTCTATTAAACTAAATTACAATTCCCTCTCCAACAGGAGAGTCAAAACAGGCCTGAAACTGATTTAAATTGTGTGATATGAAAGTTTTTTGAACTTTCACACTCCGAGGCTTTGAAAACAGCAACTCATAGCACTTTCTATAGGGCCTGTAGCCAAAACTTTTATTTCACCTAACCACCACGCAGCAGAGGAGTTTGAAGAAACTCATTTCACGTGGCCGAGCTCGTATCTAATGAGAACGTATTCTGAATGCATCATCCCATTTGTTTCAGCCGTTCAGCATAATCCAACTCATAATCTGAATTTGTAATCTGAATGTCTCTACTTCATTTCTGAAATTCAGCACCTTCTATGTTGCTGCTGTTGCTAAAAGAAAGTGGCTCAGAAAATTACCTTGAACAATAAAAGTTTGCTTCCAGCTGTGCTTCTGTTTCGATTTGTTGGGATGTCGCTCTGCTTATGTGCTAGAAAACATCTCTTGTCGAAGCAGGTGGCACGAGAGGAGGACTTCATGGCTACCAGCCATCCAAAACAGTCAGCGGTCATGAATTTAAGCACAATGGCAGGGCTTGGGCTGCTAAACCCTACCCCACACTGATTCATAATTCATACCGGATAAAAGACAAACAGAAGGGAGAAAAATTAAGTCATCCTGGAGTAGAAAGAAAATTCTCAACTAGGTAATCCCTCAATCAGCCCATGGAAAACAAGGTGAGCCACTGAGTTCTGCAAAGTTCTTCCGAAACCATAGGGGTAACCTGTCCTACCGCTGAATTATATACCACCTACATCTGAAGAAGCACTCTGTAGCCCTCAGAAGCTCACTCTGTTTGGAAAGTTCTTGAGATCCAATAAAGGTATCGCCCCAATCCAGCACGTTGTGAAAGTTTTACCAAGAGCATAAACAAAGGTGTGGGGGTGAGATTATTGATTCTCCCTCCAAGGATCAGAGCCTGTGAGTCATCCGAGGGCATTAACTGTGTGCAGGTTCAGAGTCAACAACAGGAAGGGAACTTGGCCTGCTGGATTAATCCGTGCCGCACATCACCAAAGGATCGCTGTCACAGAGTTTTTGGAGAAGGATGTGTGCACCCAGACAGACTTATCATAGGATTTATTATCCGGAACTAAAAATACACTTCCCCTCCCCAAAACGACTTCCCAGCTTCTGGATCACCCTAAAGAGGCTGGCAAGGAAATGAGCACCTCTGTTTCACAGAGGAAGCGTCCGGCTACGCAGCCAACGTAGAGAACTCTGGGGAAAATTCTTGGCCTGAGTGGGCGAAAGCCCTTGTGCTTTTTCTTCAGATTTAAATGCTACTTTATACGTTTTCATAAAAGCAGGTGTCACGCTATATTACATTTGACAGTGGCCCATCTGGTGAAGTGAGCGGCAAGTGACACGAGAACATGTTTGACAAGTCAAACTGGCTGTCTCTGGTGCTGGTTTTAACAAGCCTGCAACCCCCTGGTCATTCCTTCTCACCCCCCCTCCCTCCCTGCCCCGACTCTGCTTTTCATCAGATCAGAGATCAGAAGCATCTCTCTCCCCCACCCCCACCCCTTTGCCTTCTCCTTAATTGGGATATGCCCAAAGACGCTGAACTCATGTTGGCAAGGAGCACCCAAAATTGTACATTTTGCACATCCTCGGTCTGGTTTGTCTGGTGGAGCTCTCAAACTTGACTCTCTTTTTTCTTCTTCAAAAGAGCAGACACCTCTCTCCTCTCCAACATGTCAATTCATGCCGAAGATTGAGATAATTTCAAATATAGTTTTCTAAATTTTTTTTAATGGTGTGCCATCCAGGCTGCACCAACGTGGGATCCCTGCTAGGCTGTCCTAGGGATAAAGTACTCAGAAGTGGTTTGCCATTCAAGCTACAAAGAGCTGTGGCTAGCAAGGCATCCTTCTATCCCTGGCCCGACTTGAGCGTCTCTCTCTCTCACACACACACACACATCAGAAATGTGGTGATGACTGGACAGCAACGACTTGAGCGTCTCTCTCTCTCACACACATACACACCAGAAATGTGGTGATGACTGGACAGCAGACTGAGGGGACTCGGGGCAAAGGGGCAGTCAGTTGAGATGGGCCCCATTCTGGGGAAAGGGTGGGGTGTGCTCATGTAGGATGTAACTAAGAAGAAACTGGAAAGAATAGGATCTAAATACCACCACCGCCACCACGATCATTACACAGGCCATCAAATCAATTCCCATTGATGGACCCTTCCCAAGGTTTTGTAGGTAGAGAGTACTCAGACATAGTTTTCTGTTCCCTCCTTCCAAAAAGAGGGTGCTCTGGGACGGTGCGGTTGGCCCAAGGCCCCCCAGGCTGGCTGTTCTCCTGGAAGGCACAATGAAGAATCAAACTCCTGGCCTCTGGCTCTGCCAACAGGCCCTCCAACTCACGGGCTATTCATCCAGCCAGCGGGCACAGAAGACGAGTGTCGGCTGTTGAAAGGGAGAAGAACATTTGGAGAAGAAAAAACAGCTCAGTTTATAGTCCGTCACTATCCTCTCAACCCGTTTTTTTTTGAGGAGTTAGCCAAAGCAAACTTTTTTTTTTTTTTTTTTTTTTTTGAGGAGTTAGCCAAAGCAAATTGGGAAACTTTTGCCAAGTCACGTTAATTTCCCAAAAGCCTGAGTCACTGGAGCGACTGCTGTTATTGTCACTGTTTAATACCAAGAGCAGCAAAGAAATGACTTCCAAATAACACTCAGTGGTTTAGGTCCTCTGGCTATAGAGCCAGAGGTTGGGGGTTCGATTCCCCCCACTGGGCTTCCTGGGAGAAAAGCCAGCCTGGGTGGCCTTGGGCAAGCAGCACAGTCCACAGATGCCCCCAGAAGGAGGGAAGGGTCTTCTGAACCACTTCTGAATATTATCTAGTGGAAATGCCCCCCCAAAAAAAGGCTCACCCTAAATCAGAATTGACTTCATGGCACATGAGGACTGTTGTTTAATAATGAGGAGTTGGAAATCCCTGCTAGTCACTGAAGACCTGCTAGCAATTTCCCAGCACATCTGGATCCAACTTCTGCCCACCCTCAATTGAGAGAATCAGGGCACGGGGCATCCCCACCCCCACCCCTGCTATAGCTTCCCAGAAGTCCACAAAACTGGGAAACCAACTAACCAGTGGCTGGGGGGGGGGCAGGGAGAGGAATTAAACCAAATAGGGACATCTAACCACTAGGCAACACCTGCACTCCAGAACATAAGTAAGAGCAGGTAGCAAGCAGTGGAACGATTCCATTCCTTTTCTTGGCTGATAAATTTGAGATATCAGGGAGGGGGGGCGTGATCTCCCAATTGTGCTCCCCAGCAATGGATGAGGAGGAAAGAGGCAGTTCAGCCATTCACATTTTTTGGAATCGGTCCTTTTTTTTAACGAGCTCCTCCCTGAAACCACACCTTCTTCCTCCACCTGTCGGTAATCTACTCTCCAGAACATAAGTAAGAGCAGGTAGCAACTGGTGGACCGATCTCATTCCTTTTCTTGGCTGCTAAATTTGAGATATCGGGGGGGGGGGGCGGGATCTCCCAGTTGGGCTCCCCAGCAATGGATGAGGGGGAAAGAGGCAGTTCAGCTATTCACATTTTTTGGAATCGGTCCTTTTTTTTAACGAGCTCCTCCCTGAAACCACACCTTCTTCCTCCACCTGTCGGTAATCTACTTAGACACACACACACATACAGACATATATATATATAGGAAAATTTGGGCTACAGACACATCTTGATCCTTCTCTTCCTGCCCTTGGACAGATAAAGGCCAGGCAGTGTGAGGGGAAGAGATGTCGAAACACCAGGTAACCTCCGAGAAGCCAAGCTGTAAGACTGCAGGCAAAGGTAAGAAGGGACCTGACCCTCGGGTACCAACCAGGGGGTTTGTCAGCTGCCTGTCCTAGTTGATTATCTCACTGCATCCGCAGCCTTCTTTTCTTTGATCACGGGGCACCAGAGTAGGGTGCCCAGGTGGTCTCAAACCTATTCAGGTGGGGGGGAGGACATTGGGCTTCCCAGGAAAGAGTCTCCCGGCAAGACAAGTCAAAGTTAGGGCAGAGATTGGGGTTAGGATGATATTTTTCATCAGGTCCCAAGGCAGGCTGCCTATGGACCACTGAGGGGCTGCCTCAGCAGAGGGCGGAGGCCACCCGAAGCCTTATGGTCAGGGGAAGCTGACCACCCCTCTCAACAGACCCCTTTGCCCAAACTGGGCAAGGCTATAACCAAGGGAGGCTCAACCCGCCATTCCCTCCTGAGGACTAGCCTTGCCTTCCTGCAGGTGGTTTTTCACACGGCCAAGAGGAGAAGACACAAGAGAGCGCGGCCGGCGATGGGGGTTCCCACCCTTCAGATTATTCTGGAGCTCTGTCAGCCAAAGGTAAGGATGGAGGTTGGTCGAGGCGCTCAGGGTTGGTGCGGGGGCGTCCTCCGGCAAGCTCCTCAAAAAGGTCCCCTCCGAACCAGGCAAAAGACGGCTTCTTTCCCCTTTCTGTAAGGGTTGTGCTGCTTTTATATATATATTACACTCCAAGATAGGTTTCCAGAACCCGGTGCCCTACAGAGGTGCTGGACATGTACTCCCATCATCCCCATCTTTCAAAAATGGGAGCTGTGGTCCAACATAGTTTGGGGAGCATAGGGTGAAAGGTAAGAGGAGCCCCTCGGTGCCTCTCTCCCGCTACGCCCGTCCCATCCCTTCTCTCCGTGGTCCATTCCTATTGTTCCCCTACGGCTGTAGCCATCCATCCTTTATCAAGTCCTCCCCTGCCTTCCTCACCTGTTGCTTGGATACGCCGCCTGGCTTTTAACAGACGAACATAATGTACCGATTTGAAGCCTCTAAGTCATGCCAGGCAGAAAAAGGGGTGGCAGAAAAGGGATCTTTCAACACATCTGTTTTCCAACAGCAGCCCGCCACCGAGAGGCAGAAGGCTGCTCTAGAATGGCCCCCGGGGGTTCGACCAAGATTTGTAGGGTTGGAAGAGACCATCAAGGCTTATCAAGTCCAGTCCCCTGCCGATGCGGGAATTGTTAGCTGAGTCGTCCCTACAGATAAGTCACTCCACCTTTGTTGGGAAAAAAAAAACAATAGCGACTTCGGCACTTTCCAATTCTGCCCATTCCACCAGGAAACAGTTATTTATTTGTCTTTTTGTTTAAAATATTTTTATCCTGCCTTTCTCCTGTAAAAAGAACCCAAGCTTCAAAAAGTTCTAATTTTTAATTACATTTACGTAGCTGTAACCACCTTTCTTGTATTGTGAATCCGCTGGTAACGAGGCAAGTCCTAATCATCTGACACTCCCCCCCTGCCCTCTTCTTCTTCCAAAACTACAGGGCACGAGGATTCGTGTGAATGCCACGGTCCCGGCTATGCGTCTCCTTTGGATGCCATGAGAGGTGAGTCCATGTGGACGCTTCCCCCAGCACTGAGGACCTCTTTTCAAATTATTCAACAAGGCCCAGTTTATCTGAATCAGGCCAGCACTGCCTTCTAGGGAGACCAAGTGGATCAGAAATATACATGGAGATGGAGAAGGCCAATCAGCGTCTGCAAAGCATGATGGTTAGATGGAACCTCCATGGCCAGGGGCAGGATACCTTAGAACACCAATGGCCACGGAAAGTGGGGAAGGTGGAGGTTTAATCTCTTGTTTAAACTTAAACTCTCTGATGCTGGACTGGGGAGACTTTTCCCCCCTGAAATCCAGCTTGGCTCCTCCCCCCCCCCCCCCCCCTCTCCCGTCTGAAGCCTACAAGAATCCAGCAGTGGGGGTTTAAGTCCCTACTCAGCCACAGAAGCTCACTGGGTGACTTCAAGTCAATCATTCTCACTCAGAACGGCCTACCTCACAGGGTCGTTGTATGGGCAGAGACAGGAGGGTGGGAAGTCGAGAGATCAAAAGGACCCAGAAAAACTGTTAGGTCAGCATTACGTTTCTGAGATCCCTTCAAGGCTTCCCCCCCCTTCAGATTACTCTGGGAGAAGAGTGATGGGATAGCTAATTAGCTATAATCACACCTTTTTTAAAAAAAACAACGGCGGGACACATCAAAGCATTTCCCTGGGCCGACAGACAGAAAGATACCACAAATTATTTCATTCTCTGAGACTCAAAATATGGAGTCAACATAAATGAAAATGAAAAAAGGCCCTGGAAATCAGGAACCGAGAGCATTTAGCCCCAAGGGTTCCTGAACCCGGGGCCTGAAAGATTCTTGGACTACGGCTCCCAGAGGCCAGAGCAACCCCAGGCAATGGCCAGGACCTCTGGGAAGTGTTGTCCAAGAACAACGAGGAGCCCTAATAAGTTTGTCTTACCAGCTCTGTGGGTCCCGTAGAAACCCTGAATCCATTGGTACAAAGTTATGGACGAGTATTACTTACTTATCTTTTGTGCACTCACCGCATGGTGATCCAATGTGGGCATGATCACAATACCAGCTTCTTTGGCAAGGTGGTTTTCTGAAGGGACTGCCAAGCCCTCTGAAGAGGTAAACGCTGTGGTGAGTATATACAAAGGCACAGGCTTTGAAAAAAAAAAAAGATTTACCTGCCCTTCCTTTGACGGAGGCTCAGAGGTCTGACGGACTCCCATCCACGTAATACTAATGGAGGCTTTTTTTTTCCAAAGGCCCCCGTGAGAGGATCATCTACGTACCGTGTATCTTAACCGACTCGGGGACCCAACAACCCGACTACTTGGCCACGGTAGACGTGGATCCAGAATCGCCATGCTACTGCCAGGTACCACGCTCAATCTTAATGTTAGGGGAAACTGGGTTTTTTCACCTGGAACGATTTTCCATTTCTGTTCTTCCCCCTGAAGAGCCAGAAATGGAAGTCAAGTAAGAACTTGTGCATCCAGATCAGACATTACGTCTCTTTCTAGCCTGCTTCTTCAATTCCAACAGTGCTCTTATAGAAGCTCTTCTCTCTCTCTTTCTCTCCCCCCCAGTCCTTTTATTTTGTCCCCCAGTATTTTGGCTCCCCAAACCTGAGACCTTTTTGAGTTCTGCGCATGCCCCACGTAAAGACATTCGATTTAACAGCTATAATCTTAGGGCAAAGAGCCCTAATCTTAAACTTTAATCTGTCCAACAGCCTTGCCATTGTAAAAAAGCCAAACCAGATCAACTACCGTAATATAATTAAGTTAAAAGCACAGTTGGAAAAACTATGCAAAACACAGTTTTAAAATGTACCACATCTGATGGTGAGATCACCTGCCAGTAAAGCCTGCCTGGATTTTACTTTACTACCTTCTGGTTGAAAGACAACAGCTTGAGGGGACAGCTGAGTTTCCCTGATAAGAGATTTCCAGAGCTAGGTATGGAGCCCGCAGTGACCAGCCAAGATGCTTCCACACAAAACAAGAGTCATAATCTTCTTCCACTTCTCTCCTCTCACACACCCTACCCCACAACTGACACTGAGAGGTAGACTGCACTGACCTGGGAAGCTCCATATATCCACTGATGGCTCACTCATTCGGGAATTTGTCTAGTTGTATACTGTATGTGTTGGGAAGACAGAGAAATCCCCCCTTTCCTCTTCTTTTTGCTTCGAATGGGAAAAGGCAAAACTAAAAATATCTTGCTACGATCTGGGAACAATTTCCCTTGAGTCAATCCCAATCGGGCACAGCTTTCTGCCTAGGGCTCATTGATAAGTTCATAAGAAAACGTCTCGGGGCGAGCGAGCCTCCTTTCATTTTGGCCGTGTCGCCACCGAGATCTTCGGCAGCCTCTCAAAGAAAATACACCCTGAGCAAGAGACGTCAGTAAGGCTGGCGTCTCACCCTGGGAACTGGGAGGTGCCCAGGTGCTGGAAGGGGATCGCAGCCAAGGCTGGGCCATGTCGGCGGCTTGAAAACAATCCAGGGAGAGGCCAGCTGGGCATGAAAGGAGGCCTAGCACATGGAGAGGACTCTGCTGCCCACACAAGGGGGCCAGGGGTGGTGGGGGTGGGGGTGGTTTTCTCTCCATTGCCCTAGACCCCGGATGATGAGTAGGACATGGCTCCCCGTGGGGCACTGCCCAAGGGGACTCAAACTCCCACCCCGCCACCCGGAGACACCCCTCTGTGCACTCTTCTCCGAGAGCCCAGGGGGTGCAACGGGAAAGACGGGGTGAGAACAGGCGGGAATCTGCCCACAGCTGAAAGATGGAAGGCGCAGGAAACCAAGAAGAGCCAACGATTATACATTTAAATAACACGGGAGGAAGAAGCAGGGCTCATTACGTAATTAGGGTTTGTCACCTGCCATGGTAATTAATCCATGGTGATTGCCCAAGTGTTTTTTTTTTTTTAATCTGCTCCTCCTGTTTGAACCCATCCAGTTGATCAAGACAGCCTTGGGCAAACTGGCACTATCCGGCTCTGTTGGACTAAGAGATGTGGATCAATGGAAACATCCTCTTTTAAGGGAGGATAGTCCTCATTTGGAAGACCTGCCAGGAGATGATCCTCCTTTTGGAGGTGTCCTCTGTTTAAAGGGCTATTCCGTCCAACTTCAAGATATTCTCTCCCTTCTTTGCTTCCTTCGTTCGTATATATTTCGCAAAGCCTTGCTGAGACTTTTGGAAGAAAAACATCGAACAGAGGACCTCCCTAAACATCAAGCGATGCTGCTCACATTAGGTTTGTGTCGCTGCCGTTCCATGCCACCAAGTCGCTTCCAGCTTACTGTAACCCTATGAATGAGTGGCCTCCAAAAGCACATGGAGAAGGTACAAACTAGGGGTTCCCAACTTTGAATCCCCAAATGTTCTTGGACTGCGGCTTCCAGAAATCCTGGCCGTCACAGCGAGCGCAATGTTCTTGGACTGCGGCTTCCAGAAATCTTGGCCGGCACAGTGAGCGCTGAAGGCTTCTGAGAATTCAGTCCAAGAACATCTGGGGACCCAAGATTCAGGAACTACCAACTGAACTGAACTGAACTGGATGGATGGATAGATGGAATAAACCCCTCCTAGAAACACAACGCCTTCCTTCCCAACAGGTGATCCACCGCCTGCAGATGCCCTACCTGAATGATGAGCTCCACCACACGGGCTGGAATGCCTGCAGCAGCTGCTTCGGAGACACCACCAAGAAGCGCAACAAGCTAATCCTCCCCTGCCTAGGCAATTCTCGTGTTTATGTGGTGGATACGGGGACTGATCCCCGGGCTCCGAGGTTGTTTAAAGTAAGTTGATCCCATTAAGGATACAAGCAGAGCTGAGGGGAGGAAGGCAGAACATGATCGACAGGATCGTTTGTGTTTTTTCCCCCCCTATCTTAGATTCTGCTGTTAATTTGGGTTTTATTCTTAGTACATTTATATTTTCATAGTTTATTTCTTACATGTTGTGCAAATAAATAAATAAATAAATAAATAAATAAATAAATAAATAAATAAATAAATAAATAAATAAATAAATAAATAAATAAGGGGACAAGGCATCTGGGAAATGAGACAGCGGAGAAGGAAGGAGTAGAATATGGAGGAACCACATACAACAGAGACTAAAGCTGTTATACATTAATCCATGCTCAGATTTATGATAAACAAGGAATCCACAGGGTTTTACCCAGCGAATTACTACATTTTTCCGTGTATAAGATGCTCCTATATATAAGACGCCCCCCACTTTTCTAATCCAAAATTAAGAAATCTAAGTGGGGCTTAGCAAGTGCAGGGGAAAAGAGATCAAAGTGCTGCAGGATCGCTTTGATCCCTGCTCTCCCCTCCACTTGTTTTTGTTCTCTCCTCAGCTTACTTCCGTGTATAAGATGACCCTCAATTTTTAATCTAAAGATTTTAGACTAAAGTATAGTCTTATACACGGGAAAATATGGTAGTTCAGCTCACAGTTCTAGAAGTGACTAAACAAACCACAGACCCTTCAGTTGTCTTATTTTCACAGGTTCTTAATCTGCAATGTTGCATTAACATATGGAATAATTAGTTTTACATGGGACTTGGGTTTGCAGTAGAGATGATCCCGAACCATTGTTTCGTCGCTTCATGCTGGTTTGTTTAGTAGCCAAACAGATGTTCAGTGCTTCCCAGCCCAGCCTCCTCTGGCAGTCAACCTCTCAATGGGCAATTGCTGGAGGAGGTGCCGCTGAGAAGTGCCGAACATCTGTCTAGCCGATAAACAAACTGGCACAAATCACCAAACCGGCAGTTTGTGCCCATCTCTAGTTTGTATTTTCAGGATCAGCTTCTTCCCCCTCCCCCCCAAAAAAAACCAGCTAGAGAAATATACCCTGCAATCCCCTACCACAGAAGATACATCTAGCCTGTCAGGCGAGGGACAACCCGGAAAGGCAACTTCCACTTGGACTAAATGCCACACTCAATAAAAGGCAGAACAAAAGTCAACATAGCATATGAATTCAACCCATGGATAAGCAGTTGATCCACACATTCATTAAAGCACCATTAAAGATTACTTGCGGCATCTTAAAGATTAACAGGGTTTTTCCCCCTTTATATTTGGCATTAGCTTTCCGGCCATTGGCTGCCATCTGGGGAAGGGGCCCGCAGTCCACCAAAGTTGGCACAATATAAAACTTTTAATTTTGCTTAAGGTTGAGACTTGAACCCTGGGTCAAAAGGTGGGAGCCAAGGTCATGTAGAAAGCCAGGCTACCCAAGGAAAGGTTTAGGGGTGCCATTAAGTCAGGATGAGTTTTGTTTTGGGAAAGAATTAAAGAAAACTAGAAACTTTCTCGGAAAAAAAAAAAGGTAGGGTTCTTTTACCAAGCATTTATTGACCCAGAAAAGGGGCTTTAAATACATTCCTGCCTGGAGTAAAGTATGAAGAATGCAATATTTATTTCATTGCAACAGATGACGAAAATAGACTAGGGAGGATAATAGGTTAATGCATAATTCATGCAAAAACAAAACAAACCAGAAAGCTGTAATTGGGAGTAAATGATATTGCATTATAGAGACTTACAGTCAGTGAGACCTCCCCTCTTGTGTGTGGGTGATGGCATTTTTATTTTATTTTTTTGCTATGAAAGCAAAGACTCTGATGATCCACACATCAGAAATATGGTAATGGACCGGGCAGGCGACCTGCACAATGCATGGTGAAGAGGCGATCAATCAGATTCCGTGAAAAGGGTGAGGGTGTGTTTATCTAAGATGTAGCTGATGGGAAACTTGGAGGAAGAGGGTTTAAACCCAACACTATTAATAGTATTTATGCCCCATCAAGCCAATTCCGAATTGCGCCAACCCTTTCCAGGGCTTCCAGATACAGAATACTCAGAGGTAGTTTAGCATTCCCTTCTTATCTGGGTTTCCCTGGGACTGTGCAGCTGGCCCAAGGCTGCCCAGGCTGGCTTTTCTCCAGGCAGTCACAGCGGGCAATCGGATTCCTGGCTCCAGGGACCCTACTCACTGAGTTATCCAGTCGGCATGAAATACAGTCATACAGAGTCAGGGACTGAGACACGATGGAGAACTTTAAAAAGAGACTTCCCCAAGATAGAAACGAAATAAGCAGTTGAAGAGTTACTCCAGGTGCAAACATAATGTAAGCAGGTCAGGCTCCTAATAGGGCTGTAATATGTAAATCATCACATGCATTTTAACAAGTTTAAATCAAATTAAAAAGTGCCCTAAAGTAAGATTTAAAAAAAACCTGTGATTTGAAGAACTAGCTGATTTGACTGAATCTTGTTATTTTTTTTTTCTTGTCCATGACCTGAAACTGCAGGCATGCTTGTAATTCTCAAGCAACTGCGATGGTTTGATTTACAATCACCAAACTCTAGATCCTGATTTTATATTAATGTGAGGATGAAAAGAAAACAGTGACTTACTTAACCAGCTTTTTCTTGTGGACTTCCTGGCAGGTCATTGAGCCCAGAGAGATCATTGAGAAATGCAACTTATCTTTCTTACATACATCTCACTGCCTGGGTAGCGGAGAGGTCATGATCAGCGGCATCGGAGACGTATTTGGCAACGGAAAAGGTACAGGCCACTAGACATGGATTCTGTGGTCCAGTTTTCAGTGGGGCTGGACCTGTGCAAAACAGGGGCGCACAACGAACTCCACTCCAATACGGAGAAAAGCCACAAGGCCAAAGAGTAGGGAATCCTTTACAGCAGGTCTCTGCAACAGCTCCATAACCTACTAGGCAGGCACCCCCTTTCTTTTCTAAGGGGTTCTCATCCTATCTAGGCTTGGGCCCTTCTACAACAGCCATGGCCACGCTCGCAAGGGGTTTTTTTTGCACCCATTTCAGTTCACTTGGTACACTCCGCCCGCCATTGCTTTCATCCCAGCTGGCACAGTTCACCCACGATCATCCCTGGGAAATCCACGGTGTTCCGAGGGCAGTGGCTGACTGGCTTTGTGGTCCTTTCCACCAGGTGGGTTCGCCATTCTGGACGCGGAGACCTTCGAAGTGAAAGGGACCTGGGAACGACCTGGCGACGCCGCCCCCCAAGGATATGACTTCTGGTACCAGCCGAGGCACAACATCATGATCAGCACCGAATGGGGAATTCCCAAATACTTTGTCAACGGGTTCAACGTGGAGGATCTGGGGAAAGGTGAAACCTTTGTTCTGTTACCCAGATGAAGGCTGAGGGTTGCTTCGTCTAGCCAACAAGGGCTGGATGGTGCCTCAAAAAGATAGAATCTTAAAATGGATGGGAGCCTTTTAGAGCATCTACTCAAACTCTGTCTGATCAATGCAGGAAAAACCGAAGGTTGCCCCCAATTTATGGTAGCCCAAGATCTTCAGGGAGGGAAAAACATCCACATCCACTCTGAGTAAGACAGAACTGTTGCATATCAGTTGTTGAAGAATGTGAGGCATGGGACCAAAGAGAGAACCTCGATAAGCTAACCCTCCAGGCCTTGTCCTACGTCTTCTTCCTATGTTCAGTTAAGGCCTGGAGTCCATCAGAGCTAGACCAGCCGTCTTGGTTAGGAGAAGATCCTCAGTCTACAAGACAGCCCTTTCGGTACTGGAGGTCCATTTGGGACCACAGCACCCCAACTGGGTGTTCTGAATTGCCCCTTTCCTCGTGCCATCCCCAGAGTCGCTCTTTGGTTTACACAGTTTTTGTTGGTTCGTCTGCAGAGCGCTATGGCCGTCGCCTGAACATCTGGGACTGGACGACCCATTGCCTCGTCAAATCCATTGACGTCGGGGTGGACGCTACCCCCCTCGAGGTCCGGTTCCTGCACAATCCAGATGCTGCCCACGGCATGGTGGGCTGTGTGCTACAGAGCTCCATCCATCATTTCTTCAAGGGAGAGGTTAGAACGAACGGAGGGCCGGGGAAGTGCGATTAAAGGCAGCAGCCAGTGCAAAACTGAGATCTGGCAGCTTTGCAGATCACTTCACCAACACACAAGGGTCTTGTGGCTGACTGCTTCTCTCTAGCAAGAGTTGGTACAGATGAGCAAAATAACCTTTGACGGATTGGCTTGTGGTACAAGGATCTGATTCTGCAGTTAACCTCTTGCCTTTCATGGTTACTCAGGTTTCTATTCCACTTTTTAGAAAACAAGTGTTAGAAAACGATCTGGAGGACCACCTGCCCCCCCCCAAATAGCCCAGTGAACACCGAGCATGCTCCGTGGCCATGGATGCTAATTAACAATTTAGCAGGAAAAATAAAATTAAGAACTTCATCATAGTGGTAGAGAGAAAGGGATCAGATTGGGACCAAAACCCATTTTGTTGCTGGACTTGCTTGTCTCTTTCTTTTGCAGGATGGGTGCTGGGTGTCTGAGAAGGTGATCCAGATTCCGAACAAGAAAGTGTCCGGCTGGATTCTTCCTGAAATGCCAGGTGAGTCGAGCGGGAAGGGAGGTTCTGAAGTGTTCTTTGCCAAGCAGAGGAACCCTGATCCGGGCTCTCCTCCAGCCACACTTTCTGCACTCCTGGCAATGGGTTTGGGTAAAAGATAAAGGTTCCTCTTGACATTTTAGTCAGTCGTGTCCGACTCTAGGGGGCGGTGCTCATCCCCGTTCCCAAGCTGTAGAGCCAGCGTTTGTCCGAAGACAGTTTCCATTGTCACGTGGCCAGCGCGGCTATAGACAGAACGCTGTTTACCTTTCCACCGAGGTGGTACCTATTTATCTACTCGCATTTACATGATTTCGAACTGCTAGGTTGTCAAGGAGCTGGGACAAAGCGATGGGAGCTCCCTCCGTCGCGTGGATTCGATCTTGCGACTGCTGGTCTTCTGACCCTGCAGCACACAAAGGCTTCTGTGGTTTAGCCCGCAGCACCACCATGTCCCACAAGGGGATGGGTTTAGTGACCGCTAAATAAAACTGACCAGCTTTGCCCAATATCCCTGCTGGATTGACCACATGAGCTGGTGATTGATACTGAACTGTGGGAGAAATTGGGTTTTCCCCAAGTGTCTTAGTCTATACATTGTCTTCATAACTTGTAAGATAAACAAGCCCCAGCAGCCTAATCCAATGGAGCCCCTGACCTCTTCTGGTGTTCACCGTGTCCCTCTCCAGCGTTCGTCGTGGACATTCTCATATCATTGGACGACCGATTCCTCTACTTGAGCAACTGGATGCATGGTGATGTCCGGCAGTATGACATCACCAACCCCCACTGCCCAAGGCTGGTCGGCCAGGTAAGTCCACATAGGAGAACAGCCCATGGATTCAAGTTTATGGGAGCGGTAGTCCACAACGTGGCGTGTTGGGCTGGGGGGGGGGCGAGGCTGCAGAAGAGAGTCTCTCCCTACGAAAGCCATGGTACAGCCATGTCTCTCCCCGAATATCAGAGTTCCCCCTCCTGAAGAGGTGATACAACAGGTGAGGTCTGTGGCTTTGTACCTCACCTGTCAGCTCTTCAGAAGCATCTGACTGCACGCTGCTAGGAACAGGATGCTGGCCTGAGCACACCTTCAGACTGGAAAAGCAGTTGTTGTCTTGCCTTGCTTGCAGGCGACAACACCGGGGAGCCCAGTCCCTTCTCAACCCTGCTGTTCCTTGTGCTCATCTGACGGCCCCTCTTAGGGACAGAGCTAACATTTGTTGCAATTGTAGGTGTTCGTGGGCGGCAACATCTTCAAGGGTGGGGTGGTGACCGTCCTTGAAGATCCAGAGCTTGACTGCCAGCCAGAGCCCTTTGTGATGCACGTGAGTAACAGAGTGGAACTTTATCCACCAATTGCTACACAAATCCAGGGAGGGCTATCAGCAGGAGCCGGCAGCCGCTTCTCTCCTGTTCTGAAGGAGAAAGGAGGAGCAGGAAGACCGTGCCGGGTACGATCCAGCACAGCTGAGCATAACACAGTTGCCAAACCTTTTCGACACACACAAAGTGGGAAACAGTGGCCCCACCTCCCAAATCATGCTCCTCTCCAGTGGACTGTATGTGCCCCCGAAGACACCTGGGTGGGTTTTTCCCACTGGGTCTCTCTTAGATCTCTCCGACATCGCCATTCCACCCTGCGAGGTAAGGCCACTCTTGAGGGGGCCTCCCGGGCTGAGGGCCACCACCAGTTCTCAAGCTGTTTGATCTTCCTGCTGCAGGTCCAAGCACCGGACCCCTAATAACAAGGAGATGTACAGAACTCTACTTGGGGTCTTCCCAATTTGCTTTTCTCACTCTCCCCATATTGCTTTGCCCTTAGGGAAAGCGGGTCTACGGAGGACCCAACATGCTTCAGCTCAGCCTAGATGGTCGCAGGCTTTACGTCACCAACTCTTTCTACACACAATGGGACAAGCAGTTTTATCCTCAGATGGTGAGGTAAGAACCCTTCGAGCAAGATGAAACAACTGAGCCACAGGGATCTTGCCCCCTCCCCCTCAAGGAGAATCTATGTAGGAAACCGAGATCTGTTCTTGTGATTGCAATCTGCGAGGATTCCTCAAGCAGCCCTAACCAATACTAGTAAATATATCAGATCATTTTATAGTTAGTTGCTTATCCTTAATAACAGGAAAGATGAACCTTGCCACATTCACAGCACCGGGCATAATTCTGTTTTAATTCCAGAAGTGGCTGACCAAACATTTCTAGAAGATCCTCCCTTCCTTTGTGCTCGTGTCCTAGGGGTCTTAATATTTCAAGGTCCACCACCTTTGGGCACGGAGGTTCCATCCCACCACCGCAGCAAAAAAAGAGCTGGACATTCCAAATCCTGCATGGATTTGCCTAAGGAGTCCTCTGGAAAGCCCCAAGATTGGAGGTTTGTTCACCCAGCTTCTTGTTTCTAAATCTCCATCTTCTTCTGTTCCAGGGAGGGTTCAGTCATGCTGCAGCTGGATGTGGACACGGAGAAGGGCGGCCTCTGCGTGAACCCAGACTTCTTAGTGGATTTCGGGAAGGAGCCGTTTGGCCCTGCCCGTGTTCACGAGATGCGCTATCCAGGGGGTGACTGCTCCTCCGACATCTGGGTCTAGCACACTTTCGCGCCTTTTTCTTCCTAAGCTATCTCCGCAGGAGCCGGCACGATGCTCGGAAAGCACAGCTGGATAAAGGGTTGCCTATCTTGCTTCGCAGACGCTGCCGCTTTCAATTCACATTTTTGTGCTGATCCCCAGAATGATCGCCGACTCTTTAACTCAGGGGCGCTCCCCCTGATTCCCCCACACCAAAACTTCTTGCCCTGCAATTTCATGAGGTCGCAAGGCTCCTCTGCATCATTGGAGCACCCTCAAAATTTGCCAAATTGTTTTTATCAATGTTGCAACGCCAGAAATGGACATCCAGGGAATTCCAGTCTCATTCTTCATTTCGGGGGTGGGAGAGGGTGTTATGATGGTTCCACATAGGATCCCAGGGTCAGTGAATTGGTCCCCAGACCTTCTGGAATTGCCCCCACAGGCTTTAGCTACAATGGGTTGACTGCTGGCCCGTATAAGGATCCCTTGACCTACTCCTCTTGTGTTCTGATGTAACCCTTCTGTACGCTGCGCCTACCGTGGATGGGATTCTGGGTGCACAAGATTGCAAGACAAAATGCTTTATTCAAATCCACGGATGAGGCATGTCCCATGCAAAATTCCCACTGACCTCCAAAAGGCTAGGGGCTTTGCTGCTTCCTTTTTCCTTCTTCCCTCCTTTGCTTTTCTTGCAGACCTTGTTTTAGGAAGGAAGTTCTTAAATGGAGCTCCTTTTCCCTTTTCACGGATGCTGCAGGACTCTCCCCTGGCATCTCTGGCAGCAAGGAAAACCATGCACGAAAGCCCACGGGCATAATAAAAGGGTGTTTCAGTCACCACTACAGAGCTTCTGTGTTGCCCGTTCTTTTGAGACATGAAGGCTAACCAACTAATTTGCAGCCCGTTACAAGCCACCCTCGGCAAAAAGCAGGTGTTCAACTTCCTTTAATGGTTGTCTGTTACTGCCGGCGTTGAAAGCAATATACTGTAACTCCCAATACCAGTTGCAATCTGGTGAATGTGGGAACGACAGGGCTCCCCCTCCTGTGTGGGAGCTGCCCTGGAGGGCCACGGTGGGACCAGAGGACAGGGAAGGTGTCTTCTTGCGCCTCATCCCGCACGGCTCTTCTGACATGCTGTGTATTTGTCCTTTGGACACAGCTAGGCCCAGACGGGAGATTCCGGTTCCAGGCACCGCCGAGCTGTGAAAGTTAATGAGCAACCTCAGGCACAGCCAGTCCCTGGCTCTCAGCCCATCCTACCTCAGAGGGTTGTTTTTGGGAGCACAAAGTGGAGAAGGAGGCTGGCCGCCACACGCTCATTGGAGGGAAACACAGAGTATACGCAGGGCAGATAATCGCTAAAGTACACGTGCAAACCGTTTAATTCCAGAGCAGCTGCACTGCAGATTGTCACAGGAAACGAACCAGAGTCGTCTCACAGCACCAGAAAAAAAAGGAAGAGACCTTATGCAGGGATCCTCAGCACTTGAGTCCACTTTCTTAACGGGCATGAACTGTTTTCTTTGGCTGCCAAGTCCTCACAAAAGCTTGGGGAAGGGGAGGGCGTGACCAAGCAGCCACGAAAAGCAAAAAAGACCAGCTTGGGACAATTCCACCAAACCTCTGTGGCCAACAACATCTCCCCACCTTTCTTATGCAAAACTGGCACTTACAGTGGGGCAGAAAGCACTGCCTTGACCCAGACTTTAACCAAAACACTCGGTTTCTTAGTCGGTTCTCATTCACAACATAACTCACTGCTCTTTCGTGAAACTGAAAAAATCCACTCAAGATCCCTTTCTGGGACCAACTTCAAACATGCACCCACAATACTGGGCATCTCCTGGAGGTCTAGGACTCGTACCTACACACGCACAAATCATGCTCTCTCCCCTCCAAACATTTTCGTGAATTATGTTTATGCCCCCCCCCCTGCTGTTCTCTGCCGAACTCTCTTTATTCACGTGCAATAATTAATACTAAGCAATGATGTTGCCCCCCAGGCGGTGGAGCCCAGGCAAAGGGGTGGGTGAGTGGAAATGCCACAGAGGAGACATCCCTACAGCCGCGGTATCCCCCTCCTCATTCCTCACCCCCCTGAGGTCCTGATCCGCTGCTTCTGGGAAAGCCTCTCTGGCTCCGAGGACTGGCAGAGGATCCCCCCTGCAAGGGCTTGGCTTGATTCTCTGTGAAAGCCCCAGGTAACTGGGGGGAGGGGGGGAGGCCAAAGCAAAGCAACCTGTTGGGAGCCATGTGGGAGGGAGGCAGCACCCTCTTCCGGCTGCTTGCAAGCCAGAGTTGCCTTCCCTGCAGAAAGAAGCTGCCACCACGTTGTTTTCCCCACTTAGTTCCTTTGCCCAGGAATGGGAACTGCAGAATTTTAGAGCAGCCAGGAAGAAACTGGGGAGGGTCCCCTTACCTAACCCTCAGCACCCTGCAGGGGGGCACCTTAGTGTTGGCACCCCAGGGCCCCTGGCTCCAGTCCTAGGTGGGGTTTTTTAAGCCACCGGCTCCTGAGACACTGGGCTTCCTTGCCCTGCCCAATAATACTCCTTATGAACGAAGGGGAATAATAATAAACACCTTTCCCAAAGCATCTCTCACGCCCTCACAAAAAAAACAATTCATGCTACAATTATTCATGCTACAAAAAAGGAGGAGTTAGCAACAGCCACCTATATGCTTTCAAAAGGAATCTATCTAATCATCATCAGCACCACCACCATCATCAATAATATTAATCACCCCTAGGCTTTTTTTGGGGGGGGGTCCTAGATTTTGGGACTCAGGACCCCCGAGCTCTTGCCCGGCCTGCCACCAATCCTTCAGGACCGAGGCTCCCGCCTCTTTGGCCCCCAAATAACCAAAATGCGGATGATGCTCCCGAGCGTGCGTGACTTACCCCTCCCTTCCTCGCCCCCCTCCTAAATTGGCAGACTCCGGGCCAATCCGCGACATGTTGCTAGGCAGATTTCCCGGAACCGCGCACCAATCCGGAGCCCCGCCCAGCTTGTATCCGGGTGGAAAAACACCCGGCAGCCACTGGCATTAAAGAACAGCCCAGTATCCGGGCAGAGCCGCCCGATGGTAACCAATCAGAGAAAAGTAAAAACACACCGGCGCCGCCTCCTCCTCCTCCTCCTCCTTCTCCCTCCCCGGGGTTACTTTCTTTTTCTGTTTTTATTTTGCAATGGGAGACGGCTGGCGTGCGTGGCAAAGCCGGGGCTGAGCCGGGGAGGGGGGGGGCTTTGGCCGGCAAAGGGGGACCCTCCCCTGGAGAAGCCCCGGGAGTGGCGAGGGAAAAGGCAGGATTTATTAACCCTTGGGGGTTTGGAGGAAAATACAGAGTTGTGATTCCCCCACCCCATCGAGATGCACTTTCTACAGTTTTAACCCAGCTTTCCGCAAGAAGAGGAATTCCCCCCCCCGCGCGCGCCTTTCTTGGGGAAGGTGAGTGGCGTCTTTCAATCGATAGGTGCATCACATGCCGAATGCAGATTTTTCTTTCCCCTAGTAGCTTGGGTGGAGAGTTACAAGATTTTCTTCCGGGGGGGGGAGGAAATCGGACGAATAAAGAAGATGAACGTAAACGAAATGCCTCCAAATTAAATTCGAAACTTTTGGAAAATGAGGGCGGGAAGCTTAAAAACCCTTTGCAAAAATAGTGCGTTGTGGGAAGTGCGAGATCTTGCAGAGACTGCATGTTTTTAAGAAACTTTTTGTTTTTTTTTTAAAAAAAGAGGAAGGCAGAGTTGTAAAGACAAAAGAAACTGTTTTTGAGAACAGTTTGGGGAGGTTGGAAAAACAACGGCTCCTTTCCCATCTCGGCTTCAAACCAGCGCCAGGAGCGTCCCCGACAGTCTCTCTGTAATGAAAATGCATGTTTGCCGCCCCAGCAGCTTGGATTTTGAATTTCCCTCTTCCTGAAATTCATTTTTTTTCCTTTTTACTACTGCTGCTGCTACTACTACTACTAGGATCACCTCTCGGGCACTGCAGAGTGCAAGGGAATCTCCCGTAGGTGCCAGGGGAGATTTGGGGATTTAAAAAAACTCCAAAGTCTGGACCTTTCCTCAAGACAAGAGGTAAACAGCTGGAAGAAACCGTTCTGATCCAGGCCAGTTTTTTCTTTCCTTTTCCTTTTTACTACTGCTGCTGCTAAAGCCAAAGTCGGGAAGAACATCGGAAGCCGGCGCATGAAAGGTATGATTGGCTGGCGCATGAAAGGTATGATTGCCTCCGCTTGATGCACCTTGACAAAGACGCGTGTCGATTGAAGATCTGACTCGATTCCGTGGGGGAAGCTGGCATTTAAAGTCAGAAATCAGCCCTTCCATCATTTTAAAGGGAGCAGCTGCAGGGAGGCGAGCGTCCGTGCAATTAATCCTGTACTGGAAACGTCAGGTTTTTGTGCATTTCTCAGTAGGAGCCAGAACCATGTGGCCCGCCAGAGGAGATTCAGTGTGGATTATGGGGGTTGTAGTTGTGCATCCCCTGGAAAGGCAGAGGGTCCTGCAGCTCCTACAGGTTGTCCACCCATTCTGCGGTTTTTACTGTCAACACAGTTCTCCGCCCCAAGGCGCCTGCTTGCTCTGCCCTAAACAGCAAACCCCCTTTAAGTTGTCTGCATGCCCCAGGAGACGTAGCAGAGCCGGATGGAGCCACCCAGATGGGCCATGCTGAAGGCCAGAAGACCAAGAAGATGTGCCAGGGCTCTGAGAAGCAGTGGAGTGTGGGCACTGGAGTCCTTCTTGAGTCCGGCTGGACTCGGTGGGGAAAATGTCCCCCTCTTTTTGCTTTGCCATGTCGGAATCCCATCCAGATAATGACCCCTTGCATCTTAGCTTCTGAGAAGACCAACGTGGTGCCGTGTTAATTAGAAAACTCGTTTCTGCTCAGTTGTTGGGTGCAGGGCGAGAAACCACATCGGACTTCCTAAAGCTTCAGAGAAGAATGAAGCCGGGTTGGTTGTCGGCATGGAAGGATCTGGAATTAGAATTTTCATGGATGATGGGCTTAGGAGTTACATTAGTTGGCTCTGCATACTTTATGCCAGGTTGCTCATTCTGTTTCTCCTGTCTTGCCATTGCATGGAGGTGCACTCTGTGTATGCTCTGAAGCTATGCAGCACTCCATGCTAGTTAGTATTAAATAGAGAGCTTAGATTTGTTGTTTCCCTGTTGTGGCATTCTGTTTTTCTCCAAAGTTGTCTCAAAACGTTTGCTTTTTGAGTTTCACTTTAATAAATATAAAAATCTTCTCCACTTCAAGGCTGGGCTATTCACTTGGAGTCCCATGGTGCTAAATCCAGCCTTGGTCTCCCCAACTACCTAATGACCCCACTCTGATGTGTGTACAGTGGCACTCCTACCCTGCAGGGCTGGTGTGCTAGGAGAAAAGGGCACAACTCTGTGGATTTCTGGCTTCCTGGTGGGCACCACCCGATCCGTTAGGCTGGTGTGCCAGGAGCTGGGTTTTCGGGCAGGTTCTGTCGCTGGCATCACAGCTGACCCTCCTTGGGTCTCGCACATATTCGGGGAATAAAGGGGTGGTTGAGCAGAGAGGGTGTAGCAGGATTCTCTCTGGCTAGCATGACCAAGGCGGGGCTCATTTCTTTCTTTGAACCCAGGAAGCGCCTGTCATGGCAGAGGACAATGACCTCGGTGCGAAAATCGTGGAAAATGGGAGCGACGCATTGGAGGCAGATGTGGAGAGCGCCGCCGCCGAGCCAAGCACCTTGCTGCAGAAACTGAAGAGCACAATCTCGTAAGGGGTGCCTCTTATATTTCTTTTCTACCTGTGAGGGCATTTGGGGGGGGGATAGTGCCCATGATGTCAGAAGTCAGGGTCATTCAAGGGAAACAGCCGTAAATCCAGGACTGACCACAGAAAAAGAGTCTTTGTGTGAGACAACTAATGAACTGGTGGAACTCCCTGCCACAGGATGTCAATGGCTATCAATTTCCCAGATTTATTTTAAAAAGAGGACTAGATAAATTAACATAGTGGGGAAGAGAAGTCAGGAGCTGTGAATGAATCCTTTATGGTTTGGCTATTTAAAGATTGGTATACGGAAGATGGCCATGCCTCCAGGTGTAAACAAAAACAAAATAAGATTACCAGTTTTATCGTGAAAACGGTTAGGTCAACTGAAACGAGTGTTCATGTATAGATTATAAAGAATGTCGAAATGTTAAACAGCCAGCGGAGAACTTGCAGAAGTACAATCGGATATAAAAGTCAAGGACTGAGGACCTGCAGAGAGAGGAAGGAAAGGCAGTCTCGAGGGAAGAGTCTGTTGTTGAGGAAGAGACCCCAGGGGTCATCTGGGATCATGTCACCAGGGTGGGATGATTACAAAAGAAAAGCCTGACCTAAAAAGACCTTTGGAAGGCAACTCCTAGTAAAGAGTGCTTTGTCTTTCTGTGTTTGTAACAGGAAATCAGTCCAGAGTAAAGTCGACTGCATACTGGTGAGTGACTGGCCGGATCCTTTTAAAATTCTTTCAAAAGGGACGGTCCTCCGGATTCTTGCGCCCCACCTGCCTGAACCCCCCATCAGGGTGGCCGGTTTTCCAACCAGCTCTTGCTTCTAGGCAAAGCTCTCTGAGTCAAAATCAAAGACATACCATGTCTTGGAACAGATCCTGGTCAAAACCCAGGAGAGCTCTTGCCGGCAGATTCAGGCTGGGGCGAGCAGCCTTTGGCCCCGGCGCGCTCGTCTTGTCCAGAGCCATTCAGAAGCAGAAAGATTGCAGCTGTTATCCCAAGTAAATTCCCTAGCTTATCTTTCTCTTTTTATGATGCAAGTGAAACTCAGAGTTTAACCTCCAACTAACATTTGGGCATATGTGTCTGTGTCTCTCACCTGCCCCCACTTCTCTCTCTCTCTCTCTCCTTCCCTTTTTTTTGCTTTGTGTAAATTACAGCAAGATGTCCAGAGGTTTTCCGATCCTGCTAAACTTTATCTCTACCTCCAGCTGCCTTCAGGCCCAAGTTCAGGAGAAAAAAGGTGAGTGAGCACCTTTGGGTATCCCCTTTACTGTCTACCAGGGCTCCCAAAGTAGATCAGAATGATTAAAAACAGATTTAAAACATTTTTTAAAAAAACAGATAAAAATATTGTTTAAAAGACGGTTCAAAAATTATCTGAAAGTATTTTACAGAGTTCCTCTCCAAACTTAATTTTTTAATGTATCATATAAAACAGAAATAATCTGCAAATGACGTGAGGTAGAGCTCAAACTTTGGAAGGGCACCATTACCAGAATTTCTTAAAAGAGAGAAGAAATTCAAATAGACCAGCTTGTGTACATCCTGCAGGCCAGCATGTAGCAAAATCTAGAACTGCCTGTAAATACCAGCAGTTTGAGAGCCCATGATAGAATTAAGTGTGCAGTCAAATGGGATGTTTTCTAGATAATTTTTGATGCTTTGTATGCTTTTCTGTGCAGTAGAAGCAAGTGTCCCTGAAAGATGTAGACATGCGGGTGACCCATGCTTGAGACTCTGTAACTCTAATTTTAGAAGAGATACAGGTGTTATAGCCTGTTATGGTTTTAAGAGACTAAAGATTTGAAACCACTAACTTTGAAAATGCGAGTATCCAAACCCTAACACCTTTTGCAGCAATTCCTTTTTTTATAGGCCACCTTCCTGGTGGCTTCGAGGTCTAACAGACAGAAAATGAGTATGGCCTTTGGATGCAAATGCAAAAAAAAAGGTCTTTGGATATAAGGCAGAAACAAAAGAAAAATAAATAATAAAGAAGACAAAAACATTGTGGTACCTTAAAGACTAATTGCTATATTTCGTGGACTAAAAAAAAGCAGTTAGTCTTTTAAAGTGCCACAACATTTTTGTCTTCTTTATTTTTTAAGTAAACCGAATGTTGTTTAAAATTAAGATTAAAAGTCACTTAACAGCTCCTGGGACAGGCCGGGACATGCTAGGCAGCCATTTGGCTTCGAACACCGGAGCAGCACGTGGGATAACACGGTGTGACGGAAAAGCTGGAGGGAATGTTTTTCACAGTTGTCTCTCCTCTTGGGTCTGCCAGTCTGGATCTTGCCTCCTTGAGCTCCGCCGAGCACATGCATGCTTGCACTTGGATCCAGAACCACCTCGAGGAGTACCCGGACACCTGTCTGCCGAAACAAGATGTGTACGATGCTTACAAGTAAGTGGCAGGAAGCAGAATGGGGCCCTTTGGGCTGATGCGTTTCTCTGCAAAGCTAGTGCCCTGACGGAGATGCAGAGAGATTTAAACAGGAAGGAAGGAGACCCCCCCCCAGTGGGTTTCCCGCCAGCCTCCTCTTTGATGCTGCGAAGTCCTGGAAGGGGCTGTATGTACTCCATGCCTTTGTAAAATCAGCTTTTTCTTGTCTCCTCTGACAGGCGGTACTGTGATAATCTTTGTAGCCGCTCTCTGAGCGCAGCGAATTTTGGCAAGATCATCAGGGAGATCTTTCCGAACATCAAAGCAAGAAGACTGGGCGGACGTGGACATTCAAAATATCCTTCTGATATATGGCGTCACCAAAGGGCAGACCAGAAGGGTTTTAAGTAGGGTCAGTGGAAAGGGACACCCTCTTTCCCATATATAGTAATTTCTGCCCCTCCCCAAGCTACCTGTGAATTGGCACCTTGAAACGAGAGATCTACAGAAGCTTTAAACACCCATATTATTCTCTTAATTCCCAGTGTGTGGCTAGTGGGTCATCATTTTTACTACACACAACGTAACACCCTCTCCCCTCATGAGGGTGAGAATTATATACAAATGCAAAAAAACAGACCTTTGGATAATCTCCTTAACCCTGCGCCCAACATATTGCTACAGTGGGATACGGAGAAAGACGGTGGTCAACATGCCGCCTCTTCCCAGCCTGGATCTGAAAGAAACGGAGACTGTAAGCCCCATGGAACCGTTGCTGATACAACCATCGTTGTGTAGATGTGCGAGTGTGTGTTCTCCAGAAAAAAAAGAGTGCAGCTGGCTCAGCCTCCCATTTCTAGTAGTGTAGCCACCGCAACACCACAAGTCAGATGCAGTTGTGGAAAGGGGTTTTATCCCCAGCAGCTGGGGTTTCAAGATAGACTGCTGCTGAACACAGAGGTTCCACTTGGAACACAGGTGGTTCCCCTCCATGAATTTGTCTCCTCTGTATTTTTTGTATTTTATAACCTGGGCAGTCTACTCAGGGCACAGAACTGTCAGCTAGCATACAATTATGGTGTGTGTGTGTGTGTGTGTTAGGGAAGTGGGGTGGTGTGATCCTATACAGCTGGCTGCCAAACACACATCCAGCCCAAGGTGCTGAGACTACCTGAGCATCTTCTCTAATATCATCCTAACACGTCTGCCTTAGTCTGAGATGCAGAGATGAGGTGGAGAGCCCTTGTGATGCTGTTCCCCCCCCCTTCATCTTCTGCAGCCGGAGCGGACGGAGGTGGTTCAGTCCTACAACGACGAAGTGATGGACGCAGCCTGCGCCTTGACCTGCGACTGGGCTGAAAAGATCCTGAAGCGGTCCTTCAACAACATCGTGGAGGTGGCCCAGTTCCTCATCCAGCAGCACATCATCAGCTCCCGCTCGGCCCATGCTGACCTTGTCATGGCCATGGTGATCTCAGGTAAGGCCCTCTTCCCTTTGCTTCCTGCTCGGATCTCCCTCGGGGTAGCCTCAGAGTCCCCAAACCTGGGGCAAAATGTGCCGCACAGCTTCTGAGAGAGGATGTTTTTGCAGCAAAATGGGCCTTCCATTTTTATTCTGCCAGACGAGGAACGCTTTGTGATTTAGTCCATTTACAAAGTGTTTCTGGAATTCCCTCCACGGCAGTTCAGCTACTATGAGCTTCCATCAGGGTGGATTTGGGAACAGTGGGTTGGTGGGCTACAGTTCCCAGTATGCCAAAAGATTTCCTTGCTTGAGGATTCTGAGAAGTATAGTTAAAAACATTGTTTTAAAAAATTCTTTGCTTTGTTCTAGGGAAGACAGTTGAATAGCATTCTTAGCTTCAAACTGTTATTTTCTAAACGTTTTCGGAAAGCTTTCGTCTGTGGCCGTTTCAAGAGCTGGAGAGCAGAATGTGAATTTGGGAGAAAAATGAGATGTTTAAGATTTAGAGGACTATTCCATTGAAGAGTTCTTTTTCTTGCATCCTGAAACTGTTTAGTGGGGAAACGCAAGTCTGATTTTGTGACTAAATCTTTTTGGTGACAGAAAATGCAGAAAGCCACAGGGAAAAGCGGCCTGCTCCAAATGTGAAGAAGAATGAGCCGGAAGCCCCAGAGAATGCAGCCAAAACCCAGCCACAGGTAGGAAAAAAAACTGCCCAGAGAGTAGAGAAGTCGGAAGCAAGACGATGTTCGGTGGGGTTCAGTTCGTAAGGACTAAGATCCTGGTGAGGAGGGCGGCTGATGTTGCCCTGAGGTCCTCTTCTGAGGAAAAAGCCACCCTATATAAAATGTCACAAATTCTGTCCAAAGACGGAGGGAGTGCAAATTTTAGCATGAAGAAGAGGCAATCTCAGGAAGGGCCTTCCTAGATGGGGCTAAAGGTCCAGTTAATTGGCTTTCCTGCATTCCTGTGTTGAGTTGGGAGTTGACTTCCACGTTTCTCTGTTTAGAGGACGGAAGGGACGAGGCCGTTCCGTGTTGGGGTAGCAGAAGAATTCAGCTCCTGAGACTCATGGGAGTTGTAGTGCTCGGACATGGGAGTTGTAGAGATCAATTTGAGAGAATCCTCCTTACCCTGTGGTCGCTCCTGCCCTTTCCTCTTCTTTTTCTTGCCTTTCAGATGAAAGCAGAAAACAACTCCAAGCCCTCGCCTGCCCCTCGCAGGAGTGAAGTGAAGAAGCCAGTGGAGGTTTCCACCAAGCCGGCCAGTAGCCCGCAAGTCAACGCTCTGGTGGCCCGCCTGCCGCTGCTTTTGCCCCGTGTCCGCGTCCAGCCTGGGGACAGATTGGTGGTGTCCCCGGCGGCCGTACATGCGTCCCCGCCTGTGTTGGCGCCCAAGCTCACGACGACGCCTGTGGGGGGCATGGTTAAAATGGCTCTCTCTGTGGGCCCGCCGCCCTCCTCGACCCTGCTGGCCCCAGCCGTGAACGGGCCCCCCGGTCTGGTCGGCCCACAGGGGGCCGTGCCGGTCATCAACATGATGCCGGTCATCAATGTGGCGGTGCCTCCTCCTCCTCCTCCTCCCCCCCTCCCGGAGATCCCACCCAAGCCCAAGAGCGACCCCAGTGGCGGAGGGAGGCGAGGCCGGCCGGAGCCCCTGCGAGCCGCCGAAAGCCAGTCCTCCCACCAAGAGACCCGCAGATGCGCCGGGAGAGGTGGTAGCCGTGAAGAGAAAACGCGGGCGGCCCCGGAAGAAGGCGGAGGAGCCCGAGGCCTCCTTGCCAGACAAGGACGCTGACAAAGAGCAGCCACCCGGTGCCAAGGAAATCTCGAGTGTCATTGCTATCATTGAAGCTCATACCGCATCCCTGTCTTCTTCCAGCCAGAAGGGGCAAGGAGAAAGCCCCAAAGGGGAGCTGCCCCGCGAGGGAGCAGCCAAAGGACAACCCGCCAAGGTCACCCCTGGGGAGAGCCTGCCTCCGACCGGCCCCTTCGTGGCGAGTCCTCCTGCCAAGCCTGTTGTCTTGCCCTCCCAGGTGAGTGTCATCAAAGGCTGGCAGCCCACCCCTCCTCCAGCCCTGGTCAGGGAGCCTGGACGCGGCTCCCAGGAGCAGCCCCTGCAAGCAGCCGGAAGGGTGCCGGCGCCAGGAGGCGCTGCTCGGACCGCCACCGCCAGGGACTCCGAGAAACTGGAGAAATACAGCTTGCTGGATCCAGAGCTGCAGCCCACGGATCTTTCCATGGGCAAGGGACGGCCGGCTTCCTCCAAAGGTCGCCCGGGTGTCTCCAGCCTGCCAGCATCCTCAGTGCGTTTGCACCAGGAAAAATCGGGGGAGGCTGCAAGTCCCCCAGCGGCATCAACACAGGCCCCGAATCGGTAGCCATCCACCTACCCTTCCAGTCCTCCTCCTCCCCCCCAACCCCCCAATGTGTGTATCTCAATGCCAGGCCTTCCTATTCAGAGGCATTCCAAGGCCGCCTGCTTTTCCAAATTCAATGCACGCATATAGAAAGAAAATAATTGAAGACATGAGCTTGCCAGCCCTTTTGTTCCCCACCCCCCTGTACGTCAGTCTCCCCAGTCTTGTAAGGTGATGCCCTTGAGAAGCTGCTTGGCATGCGCCACCCAGCCTCACTCATCATCATATCAAAATCTCCCCCACCCCTTCCCTTGCTGAAAAGTTGGAAGTGGGCCCTGATGTTTTTAGCATTAGTTATGCCTGCCCCTCCCTGATGCAGAACGTTAAAGCGAAACATCCCAGGCAGTGAGATTGCGCAGTAGATCAGGAGCGCTTTCTGAAATGGGGAGTAAAACAGCTCATATCTTTGGCAAGGAGGTTATTGTGACCCTCGTCTTGGTACCCAAAATACACGCCCTGAGACACACACCCCTGGTTCACTGCAGCCGACGTGCACTTTCAGGGCCAGGGGTGGGGCAAAAGAAAGTGTTCTCCACATTTTGAAATTCAAGGTGAAAATTTCAGGTTCTCGGGGTGGGGGGAGAGAGTGTTGTGTTTTACATGGAAATTTCCCTGCCCCCATGCTCTGATGTTTAGTGACAATCATCTCCCAGCCAGCATCCCAAAGACTTTTACTTTTCTTATTGCTAGCGCTTCCACTGACGTTAATGCGATGTTTAAAAATGGGGTTGCCCTAGCTCACCCATTCACTTGTTTTGAAAAAAAAAATTCCTCGCCCCCTTTCCTCTTGTTAATGTTTTCCTTTCCCCTTTGTTGGTTTGGCTATAAAAATGCTGAATAAACATACGCACAGTTTTTTAAAAAAACAAACAAATGGTTGTACAGCTTCTGTTTTACTCTGTCCTGGACTAAACTGCATGCTTTTTGGAGGCTGCAAAAGCAGCTAATCCAAGCAGGCCAAGTGGGGGCAGCTGGGACCCTTACCCCACCCCACTGAGCCTCAGCAACAGGCAGTGCCTGTGATGGGTCCAAGCTCTCTTGACTCCTTGTAAAAAAACAACGATGGATTTATGATATACGTATATGACATTTTCCTCTACGACACCAAACCACGGATCCAGCTAGTTTGGTGGTGTCTTCGCTGACTGGCCACAGAGGTCTCTCGGGCATAGAAGAATCTGCCTTTTAGACCACGTTTGAATTCAGAGGCGGCTCTAGTCCAAAAGCTGCTCATCGACCATCTTTCTGTGGGGCTCGGTGGTACTGCCGCTTTGAACCACTGGGCGTCACCAGACTACCAGGCAACATCTGAGCAGCTCACCTAGAAAAAGGGACCAGTCCCTCCCTGCCTTCAGCGCCAGAGTTTAGGAAACGCAGGTGGTCCCTCTTGGTCGGTGGAGGGAAATTCCAGTGTTTTTCAGCCGAGCCTGGTCTGTTCTCTGTGCCAGGAAGGTGAGGTATCTGCCTCCCTTTCTCCCACAGTCGCCTCCCAGGGGCCGAGGGGCATAGCCAGTATTGTCTCAGCAGGGACTAGAAAGAAGTTTGTGCATGCCCTGGGGCAGTCTTGTTACGGCAGGCACAGAAGGTCATGCTTTTGAGAAGGGGCATCCCCCATGTGCTTGGGCAAAGAGGGGAGAGGGTGCCTCTTAGAAGCGAGTGTTTGCTGTCCGCAACGGCTGACAGGTTAACCTCGGAGGCTGCTTTCCACTCAACTGGAAGGCTTCAAAATCAATCAACTAAACCCAGCCTGAATGTTAAGGCCGGGCTTCCCAAGCTTCACTCCACACTCTCTTCCTCCAGGGCTGCGTCTCTTGGAGAATTTCACAAAGGAGAAGGTGCCATTTCAGCAAGGTGGGGCGGGGGAAAGACAGAACGTCCGCCCTTCTGGGTCATTGGGCTGGCTGTGGTTTCCAAACCAATGCTGGGAGCCAAATTGGCTGAGTGGAAAAATTAGGAGAGGGTTAATGTTAGACTAGCCCCCAAATGCAGAGCGGATGATGTTTGCTTGGCTCTTGCCTCTGTTTTGAACATTATGTCCCCGCTGAGATGCATTCCAGAGGCCTGAATCAGCTCTGGCTTGCCCTAGTCAGATCCAAGGTAAACAAGCTGCCGAAATTGGATTCCAGCTTGGCTTTATACCTGAATGCACCCAACCAGCTTTTCAGGGAAGAGGAAAGGCATGCTCCAACATGCTGGAAACCAGCATTGTGTATGTGTGAGAGACAGAAGCAAAGGGGGGGGGGAGTTCAACATGCCCCCCCAGCCTCACCATTTCAAGCATATTTAAAAAAAAAAAAAAGGTTGATGCTGCTTTTGAGTTTTTCCCCGTCCGCCAGATTGATTGAACGTCTACAGGGAGCTTTAACGGCGAAGGTGGTGGGGATTGTACCTAGGCCCAAAATACTTCTGAACATGTACAGAGCATCTTCTCACTTCTGTCCAGAGAGGCTCCGTTCCAAGGGATAGCAGTTACCTAGCACGGTACTTTTTCAGACCAAAGATCGGCCGCCTCTAAGATTCTGTTTTGCACGGGGCCACCACCAGACAGCTCTGGAAAGTTCACGGTACAGTATTTTGTTCTCTGGAACTTAGGCTGTAAAGCTGCACCTCCAGATCATGAGGTCCATTTAACCATGACTAATCGCCATAAAGTCCTCTTTTTATTTCTCTTGCGCCTTCACGCTGACTCAGGTCTTTTGAAGCCACTCAAGGCATTTGTCACCGCCAGGCCACAGGTCTGCCAATGCGTGTGGCGTGGCACAACAGGTTAAAGGCCACCCCTCTCTGTGCAGCCATCTGCACCACGCCGAGTCTCCTCGGGAATTCAGACCACAGCCCTCTAAGGCAGGACAGGAGAAACAGCTCCTTTCTTACCGGGTTGGGCAGGGACGGGCTGGATTTGATGGGTTACAGCGATGCCGTCACTAAACTGGGCTCCTGGCCAAGGTGAGATCGGAAATGACTCCCTGGTTCCTCTTCTTCTGCAAGATACAGCCGTGTTCAGCTCAAGGAAGCAGGAGGGAGGGCGGCCAGGGGCGAAGTGCGTCTCCTGGGCCAGGAGGGGCAGCACTCGACCAGGGGGGAAGGCCCCATTCCACAGAGCCACCAGCGGGTTTCCACATCTTCCCTCCCTCCACCCACGCAATTTCCTTTCCCTGCTGCGCACACACGCTCGGTCGCTGATCAAGGCCCTCCACGGATAGGGCAGAGAGCTGATCGAGCAAAACAGCCTGACCGGGGGGGGGGGGAGTGCTGAATCTGCTCACAGGAAGACACCTGCACACGGACTCCTGAGGGTTAAAAGTGCACCCACAGAGAGGGTTATCTGGGTTCTATGACAGTCGGCAAAGCACCCCTGGCCGGATCCATGACATAAACAAATGGGGAGAAGGAGGAAGCCTGCAGGTCACTTTTCTCTCCTCTGAAGCCAATTCAGGGGGAGCCGTGGAGCTCCTCAGCAATGGGGGACCTCTCCCGTCCGTCTCCTCTGAGGAGCAACCCTTCTGCTGGTCACTGTCCTGGTCTTTTGACCTGGTTTAAAATTGGGTGTCTCTTCAGGGTTCAGTTCTCTCCCCAGGAAACATCCAGACATTTCCTAGAATATAAATGACAGAACCGCCCTATTTGCCTCCTTAACAGGGCAACAAAGGGAAGTTATGGCTTGTTGACGGAAGCAATGGCATTCCCTGCTCTTGTTATCTCATTTCCTTTTCCTGAAGATCAGGGATTCCTCCCTCCCTTAAATCGCTACCACAGAAAAGTCCTCATAACATCCGGACTATAAAATGTCTCTGCGGACCTTCCTCCACTCCAGTCGCTTGGGGCGGACGGGGTGGTGGTGGCCGCCGGCTACTGGCCACCTTTTATCTCTTGCTGCACTTGACAGATAAGCCCGCACCCGGCCCGGGTTCCCGAGCATCTTTTTCCAGCTCACCAGGAGTAGAAACCTAAGCGGCATTTTAGACCACGAGTCGCAAGAATCCAAATCCTGTACTTTCTTAGATAGCCCTGCCTGAGATTAATTGTTGAGAAGGTAGGGGTTGGGGAGAGAGTGGATCAGATCTGACGATGGAGCTTCTTCCTCATGGGTGCAAAAGTGAACCACCAGCACACCCAAAATGGCAAGACCTCAACGCTTTTCCTTCTGGGTAATGATAAAATGCCTTCTTTCTCCTGATGCAAATCTTAAGACAGCCCTGGACCCACCATGTCAGGCAAACAGAAGAGTTTACAAAACCTGACTTATAAAATGAGAAAGGACATAACCAAGGTCTTTCCTGCAAAGAGGACGCTGGCGGCCACGTGGGAATGTTGGGGGGGGGGGGGGAAGGGAGGCTGCTGGAGCCAGGCAATGGAACTGACCTTGAGGACGGCCAGCAAGGAAGCCCCAAGCCTTGCCCCCACCCTGTTGCAATCTCCAGTGTTTTGGTGGCGGTGGCAGCCAATTCACAGAGCTACCGCTCATGGGCAGGTATGCTGGGAATGCTGGCCCTCCCTTCAAAGGCTCTGGGAGTGGGGGGCAGATCCACCCCACCTGGCTGAAAGAGCCCCGGGTTCTGCTGAGAGCAGGTTCTGGGAGCAGGATTGAGCCGGTGCAAGGCGGGCAAGCGAGAGGCAGCAGAGACAAGAGAGGCAAACGAGAGATCAGCCACTCAGGCTGATATGCATCGGAAGAGCTGTTCTGGCCTCACGTGGACTTTCGTGGTGAGATGCTGCACCTCCCATCACCCTACCAGAGTTTTCATGAGGGCTGACCTCCCAACACGAGAGGGATGAGGGTTGCTAAGGAGAGAGAGAGAGAGAGAAAGGCTGGAAGAACTAGGAGAGCTGCCCTTCTTCCCAGCGTGATGGTGGAGAGGACGCCTCCAAAGGCACCAGAGTAACTTAAAAGAAGCACGTACCTGCCACCTGGAGCGATACTGACCTCCCCAGTGGATGTGTACACAGCACACATTTTTGTGCATTTTTAGGAGAAACATTGACCTTTTCACTTCCCTTTTCTATCCCAGGTTCTCCGGGCCAGAAAAACAATGTTCCTGTCTCCTTTCCTCTGCCCCATGACCCCTGATCTCTCTCTCTCTCTGAACACCCCCACACAGCTGCACACTTGGCCTTGCTCTACTTCTGACGGTCTTCTTGTGACTTCTCCAAGGTCTAAATGATCTGGAATTTTTGGTCCACCCAATTCCAGTGGGGTTTTATGAATACAAACAACTTTGCTTTGAAAACACAATACGTGATAAGAACATGGGACTCCAGGCCTGTAAGAAGTCAAAAGGGTTTGTTCTGTGAAGCTGAGAGATTCCAGTTCAGGTCTGACAGCTGGCACGACGTCCCTTAGGAGAAAGTCATAAGGTTTCCTATCAGACTTCTGTATGGAAAGCTGAGGATACTAATTATCGCCTGATATGTAACACTAATCAACCCTGAGTGCTCCCTGGAAGGACAGATCCTGAAGCTGAGGCTCCAATACTTTTGCCATCTCATGAGAAGAGAAGACTCCTTGGAAAAGACCCTGATGTTGGGAAAGTGTGAAGGCAAGAGGAGAAGGGGATGACAGAGGACGAGATGGTTGGATAATGTCATTGAAGCGACCAACATGAATTTGACCCAACTCTGGGAAGCAGTGGAGGATAGGAGGGCCCGGCATGCTCTGGTCCATGGGATCACGAAGAGTCTGACACAACTTAACGAAAAAACAACAACATGTAACACTAAAGCAAAGTATAGAAAACTCTCCGAAAACTTGAAAGTGCCATGCTGTGGGGTGCGATCCTGCCTGTGTAGATTGGAATGTTTCCCTATGCTCTTTGGACTTCACTCCCCAGTCCTCTATGCCTCAGTTATTTGCAAAGTTAT